GTCCTGCTCATGCTGTTTGTTGGAAAAATATGGAAGATTTTGAGACTTACTAGAAAAGTGGTTAGACACATTAGTGGGGGTTACTGGGCTTAGTCCTAGTAGGAACATTGAAGACAGTGCTATTTGTGGGCAGTTTAAACTCTGGGGTGCCCAGCAAGAAGTTTCAGTGGGGAGGGATATTAGTAAGTGGTCTGGAGACCATTCTTAGAATATTTTGGCAAAGAATGTGGCTGCTTTCTGCCCTTGTCCAAAAAAATCTGCCTGAGGCTAAGTTGAGCTTTAGCAAAAGAGATTTCAAGACAGCCTAGTAGCATTGATATGTCATGTGGTTATTATAGATGTCATATGCACGTCTATAATGGAAAAGGAACAAGCTGGACAAAGAGAAATACCAAGTGTACAGTTTGAAGAGAAAAGGAGTGCCAGGAAATGTCATGGTCCTCAAGGAGATAAAAAGTTTAAGGAAAAGCCTGGCACTAAATAGAGTGCTGATGTCAGCAAGACCCCACTCAGCTAAGCTTCCGACTTTTGAGAAGGAACTAAAGGGAGCTTAAACAGTGAAGGAAAGCATCCACAACAGAAAGCCCATGCAAGTCATTGAAGTAGCCACGTTCTAACCCCAGCAAGCAGAACTCGGCAACTTCAGTCACGTGCTTCCGGCTTCAGAGTCAAGGATACAAGAAAGGGGTAATGGAATCTCCCTTTGTGGACAAGCCATTAAGGCCAGGGGTGTCCCTGCATAAAGGCCCAGAGAGGCCATTGTATGAAACTGAAGATGAAGCCCGGATCATCTTTGGAGACACCAATACATTATTGGACAAATGACAAATCTGTGGGATACCTGCCAAGAAAAGCTGTGTACCAAGTGTGGAACAAGCCCAAGAAATAGAAATATGTTGCGGTCAACAAAGCTGAATTTGGAGTTTGCCTTGCTGGTTTTTGGTCTCAAGTTGGTCCAGTATTTCCTCACTATGCTCTCTTTCTTCCCCTTTGGAATGGTAATGTATGTTCTGTGCCATTGATGGATGTTTGTTATCTGCCTTTTGACTTTGATTTTACAGGGGGGTTACAGTTAAGAGATTGCCATGAGTCTCAGAAGAGACTTTGAACTTTGGTTTTTTAAAAGGTGTAGAGACTGACAAACTATATGGACTTGTGGAGTTGGACTGAATGCATTTTTACATTATGCCATGGCTACAAGCCTATGGAAGCTGGGAGTGAGTAAGAATGGCCCCCATAGGCTTATAAATTTGTGAAGGATTAGAAGGTATGACCTTGTGGGAGGAAGTGTGTCACTGAGGGGTGGACTTTGAAGTTTCAAAAGCCCAAGCCAGACCCAGTTGACACTCTCCCTCTCTCTGCCTATGGTCAGGATGTAGCTCCTAGCTACTGCTTCAGCAATTGCTTGCATGCCACCATGATAATGGATTAAGCCTCTGAAACTGTAAGCAAGCCCTAGTAAATGCATTCTGTAAGTAGAGTTTTCGTGGTCATAGTATTTCTTCATAGAAATAGAAGTGACTACGACAGGGTCAAAAATACACACTGGAAAAGAGACAGTCCTTTTGGCAGCAGGTTCTGGGAAAGCATATAGAAAAATAAAACTATCTGTTTGTGCGATGTTTTACTCTTCTGGCTTTTTGGGGGGCCCAGCACCCAGCTCCCAAATAAATCACACATGGAGGCTTATTCTTAGTTATGAATGCCCGGCATTCATATGTATGATATATATATACACATATATATGAATATATATCATATATATATAATGCATACACACACACGTCTCACCCATAAATGATACAGTGAGCCAATGAGTAAATGGGCTCATCTGGGTTAACCTGGGTGTGGTGACACATGTCCAGTCCTTGGGAAGCTGAGCCAGGTCATTTGCAAATAATGATGCCAGACTGAACTTTTATAAAACAACAATAAAAAAGGAAGTTCAACCAAGTGTGGTTGTTCTTGCCTATAATTCCAGCACTGGAAATACTGAAGCAAGAAGATTGCCCTGAGTACAGCTGACCTAGAGTACACAGTGAAACCCTGTATCAAAACCCAAAACGAAAAATAAAGTAGGGACTGGGGAAAGACACAATAAAAGAGAAGGATATTCATTGTTTTTCTGGTAGTGTTGGGGAGTAGGAGATTTGTCGCAGTTTCCTTGAAACTGAAACATACCATCTTCCAGGGAAGCTCTTAAAACACAGGGTAACCAGGAAGTCCCTGAAACCCACCGGATTTGCTGTACCCCCCTCACTCCAAGAGTAAGCAACAAAGATAGCCGAGTCACTCTTGGTCAAGCCAAGCTGCACAGAATTTGAGCCAGACCAGCGGCCTGAAAAAAAGTAGAGACTAGCTGCCTGGAAGAGGGTCAGAACAACTGTGTCACGTGGAAAGGACACTAACCAATTGAGCTGCTTGTAGACTCTGTACTGTGCTTCAGGTTATCAACTTTTGTGAACTCTTAGAACCCATGTTGGGGTAGGCTTTGTGATGCAGCTGTCTCTGAGTCATTTCAGCTCCTGTAAGTAACCCCTTACCCACATTCCTGTAACCCCAATAAAACTCATGGTTCACTGTAGTAGGAGACTGTTTGTTCATTCCCGGCTGCCCAGACCCAAAATAATCACACAGAAACTATATTAATTACAATGCTGCTTGGGCAATAACTTAGGCTTCTTATTTACTAACTCTTACATCTTAAATTAATCCATTCCTATTATTACCTACCAAGAGTCTCATGGTTTACCGGTAAGGTTGGGGGGGGGGGCATCTGTCTGATTCTGACTTCTTTTCTCCTCTATCTCTGCTTGGAATTCCCAATTTGCTCTATTCTGTGCTGCCATAGGCCCAAAGCAGCTTCTTTATTAACCAGTCATAATAAAGCATATTCACAGCATACAGAGGGGAAGCCCACATCAGTTCACCACGTTGGGCTTTGGTATCATCTATACTTTGGTTTCTCACGAGCTCCCTATTTGGGGTAAGTTGTGTTGCCTCTCCCCAGGGAAAGTCTTGACATCTGATAGTAGGAAAAATGGTCATTGCCAGAGGGATGCGGAGGAAAAGAACCCCTCCAGTACTTCCAATAACGATATAGTTACAGATCTTAAAGAAATCTGACGGTATTGTTACCATACCCCAGAATAAGTAACCAAATAAGATATCCACTGTGAGTACTGAAATGCCTTGAAGGGTTTTCGCAAGAGATTGTTGAATGAAAAAGAAGATATTGAGAAGAGAATATATTGGGATGCTGTTCTAGGTAACTATTACACCTCCCTTCACAACACCCTTCTGTAAGTTTGTGTGGGTTGTGTATACAAGCACAGAGGAAGAAAGACTATGTCCTAAATTAACATAAGACACCAATGGAGGTCAGATAATGGCAGAAAGGGGAAGATGAAAATAACCAAAAGAGGAAAGGAAAAAATTTTTCACTAAAAAATGATAACAAGAGCCGGGCGATGGTGGCGCACACCTTTAATCCCAGCACTCGGGAGGCAGAGGCAGGCGGATCTCTGTGAGTTCGAGACCAGCCTGGTCTACAAGAGCTAGTTCCAGGACAGGCTCCAAAGCCACAGAGAAACCCTGTCTCGAAAAACCAAAAAAAAAAAAAAAATGATAACAAGTATATGATCATTGTCATTCATGAATTAAAATTCTGTATATATAGTGGTATTTGTAAACAGAATTTATGGTTGCTTGACACAGGTATGAATTTATTAGATAGCTAGAATTTGAGGCTATAAGACATGTTGGTCACATTGTTTTAAAAGAGGCTAAAGAAGTCCTTTACCCATTCTAAAGAGTCTTTATTCTTTCGGAGAAATAGCCAAAGTGGAAAGCTCATTTCTGAAAAAGAGCACTAACAGAAGGGTTTGACATAGGCAGTGGGAGCATTAAGGGGAAGAGGGGATGTAATGTTTGTATGGCCCTTGGCAACTACACTGCCACTGCCGAGACTCTATGGTTACACAGTCATTTCTGGATATGGTTCAGGGAAGGCTTCCTGCTCAAAGGGATTTCTGTGGTTTGTTAGTGTAGGAAAGGATAGGTCAGAGAGCCCTTCCTACAATCGGTATTTATCAAGTGCATTTATCCTGAAATAATGTGCCAAAATGAAATCTTGATTAAGTTGTCCTCAGCTGCTTTAGAGTCTTAGTCGTTACCTCTTCCCATAATTGCATATACAGGTAACTGATCTGTACTCTCCATAGAATCTCTGTGGTTATAGTTTTTCCTCTAGTCATTATTGCCCACATACAGTTTTTGGAAATTGTTTTTATTTTATGTATATGTAGGGTGCTCTGTATGTATGTATGTCAGTGCACCACATGCATAGCTAGTGTTCGTGGTTGCCAGAAGAGGGCATAAGATCCCCTGGAACTGTAATTACAAATAAGCTGCCGTGTGCATTCTGGGAATCAAACCTAGGTCCTCTGGAAAAGCAGCCAGTGCTCTTAATTGATGAACTGTTTTTCCAGTCCTGGTTTTGGGTTTTTGAGCCAGAGTCTGATTTAGCTCAGGTTAGTCTCTAACTCACAGAGGATGGCTGTGAAATCTTGATCTACCATTTCCTAGGTGCTAGTATTACAGGTGTACACTAACATGCCGCCTTAAAATGTATTTTGATAAAGTCAAGGATGGTGGCCTGTTACCCTAGAATTCTAGATGTAAGGAAGGCGGACTGGGAGTTCCAGGCCATCCTATGCTACAGAAAAGTGAGCTGGAGGCAAGCCTAGGCTAAATGACACTGTTTCAAAGTGAAATTTTAAAATGCATATTGACAACGGGTATGCAGAGGTAAAGTGCTGAAGGAAAATGTCTTATATAATTTTACATAGGCAGTGATTATGAATCTTGTCAAGCTAAATTTGTAAATGTTAATAAAAATACTGTTTTGTGAAAGGACTAACTGTAGACAAGCAGTATTGATAAGTGTTGGCTACCAGTCAGATGCAGTGCAATTTACTATATTGTGTTTTGTATTTCAGATGTCTTCGGTGCCTAGTAATCAACATTTCCAGGTATATCTCAGATATCAAATATTTGCCTCCCAACATCAAAGATAGACTGATTAAAATAATGAGCACACGGGGCCGGATAACAGATTCCAATATAAATGAGGTAAGAATGTGTAGCTATAAAATTTTACTTCATTGTTCAGATTTAATTTCATATTTTTTGAACAAAAAAGGAGTATATAGTGAGATTGTTAGTCCTGTTAAAATAGGACTCTGATTGAGAAGTCGGTATCCACCCTTGAGTGTGTACTGTCCTCTACTACCCTCCCCTTGCTTTTCTTCTCCTCCCTTCCCTACTCTTAAGTATATATTGATAAAACCATTTTATCGTTGCTGCTTTTGAGACAGGGTCTCTCTGCCCTGGATGGCCTTGAACTCATGAAGATCTGCCTGCTTAGAATTTAGGCCATTATTTATTGACCTCAAGGAAACACTGAACAGTAGCTCCCCACAACAACTGACATGTGCTAACTACTCGAAACAATGAAGGACAGTTGGGCATGGTAGATTATGTATGTAATTCCAATATTCAGGAGTCAGAGCAGGAGATTTGCTATGAGTTTCTAGTCAGCCTGGGCTATATAGTGAGTTCTAGGTCAGTATGTCTCCAAAAAAAGAAAAAAGAAGAAGGCGGCGGCAATGGACAGATGACTCAGCAGTTAAAAGTGCTTGAGACTTTTCTGGAGGTCCAGAGTGTAACCAATATCCACATCAGGAGCCTTACAACTGCCTGTAACTCTAGTTCGTAGGGATCCACTGCCAAGCCGCCTTAGTCACACATACATTTAAAAAAAAAATTTAAAAAGGCATGGTGAGGGGGCTGGAGAGATGGCACAGGGGTTAAGAGCACTGGCTGTTCTTTCAGAGTTCCAGAGTTCAATTCCCAGCAACCACATGGTGGCTCACAACCATCTACAGTGAGATCTGATGCCCTCTTCTGGTCTACAAGCATACATGTAGGCAGAATACTATATATAATAAATAAATCTTTTAAAAAAGATTTTAAAAAAAAGGCATGATGTGCATGGCGAGGCCAGACATGGTGACTCACACATTTAATCCCAGCATGCAGCAGGCAGATCTCTGTGATTTTGAGGCCTGCCTGGTCAGGGCTATGTAGAGATCCTGTCTCAAAACAACAATAAAAAGGCTTGGTGGTGTTTACCTATAATCCCAATATTTGGGAGGCTGAGGGAAGAGGATCAGGACTTCAAGGCCAGTCTTGTCTAAATAGTGACTTTGAGGATAGCCTAAATTACGCGAGAGTGTTTCAGAAAATCAAAAAAGAAGCTGGGGTTCAGTAGAGGAAAACACTTGCCAGCTAAGCCCGATGACCTAGATTCAGTCCCCAAAACCCACAATGGAAGGAGAGAATTGACTCTCCAGAGTTGTCCTCTGACCTCTACACACATGTTGTACCCAAGTTGAGACCCCCAGAGAGACCACCACCAGAATCCAGTCAAGTCCAGAATGCAAAAAGCAAGGTTTATTCTGCCCACACATAGTTCAGCTAGCTGGGAGCTCAAAGCCACTACTCATGACACAGCGCAGTGGGGAGAACTCCCATTCCTCTTTTGGGGTTGACATATGCAGACAAAAACTGCAAGCCAGGTTTATTTTGAGTCAAGGGGGTTGGTCTTGCTAAACGAAGGGTATGGACTCCTTCTGTATACACCTTCCTCCTGTAAGCAGCTACTTCTGCTTCTGTGCATGCCCCCTGCCCCCCACCACCAAGCAGTTCCATCTGCTTATGTCTAGACCACAAAGCTGGGTGCCAACAGGTGGCTAGCTGCTAGGAACATTTCGTAGTTTATACTTTTTGCAGAGGTTCCTGTTTTCTACTAGCTCTTGATGTACAAAGTTCTTGAACCCAGTGTCTCCTGATCAAGCAAAGTTTCTTAAATTTTTCCATGTCCTTACAATATACTATTAGACACACATACACACACTAATAATAGTAATAATAAATTATTTTTAAACCAAAGACTGAAAAACATGTTAAAAGAAGTTATACTAGGCCCAAGCATGGTGGTACACACCTTTAATCCCAATATTAAGAAGGCAGAGGGAGGTGGACTGCTATGACTAGTACATAAGCGACAAATGTTGGGACACAAGAATTTATTTAGTGACTAAAGAATGAAGTGGGAGCTTTGCTCACAAATCAACTTCTCGCCCGCAAGGGATAATGAGAGAGTATATATATTTTCTGGGAATAGGCAAAGATATTCCAAGAACTCAGGTGCCACCTCTTTTTGTTCCTTTTATGATCTGGGATCTCTGTCATGGTGGCAGGTGGGCATCTTTAGCCCTAAGTGGGTCTGAGGAAAGACTAGACAACTCTAGGTCAAGTTAACCCTGCATTTCTCAGCTGTTCAGCTTGTCTGCATACAGAACTGTGTAACAAAGACGAAGGCAATAAAGGAGACAGACATAATATGTAAACAGACAGCAAGTGTTGCTTTCTGTTCCACTCACCCATCAGACACTTGTGAGCAGCAATACTTGTCCAGTCCCTGCAGTGTAGTCTAGGTGACTGCTAACACAACCCCCAGGGCAGAGGTGTTATCTTCCTCAAGGCTAGTGGTATGGTTGCTCAGCTATGTGACCTCCAAAATGTTGATTTTTCACTCAACTAAGAGCTGGCAGAGGAATGTTTATTTTTTCAGTAACAGTAAAGGACATATGTATCCGAAAGGGATTGGTTATCCTTGTACAGACTACCTAACATCAGGCCATTTGACTGAAAATGTTTCAGAGGAGCAGGTCTTTTTCTTTGGAAGCGATACCTGCTCAACAGAACCACACAGGTCCAGTTGAATGAGTCAGAGATGTCAGTAGATGTCCAGTACTGTGGCTCTCCAGGGCTCCTTTCTCTGCACTAGCATTCGGTTTCAGCACTGAAGACTTTAAGCACTCGGTATTGCAGTTCCAGCCAGAAGCTAACTTGTTTTTTTGTTGTTTGTTTGTTTGTTTTTCCTGCTTTATCTTCTACACAGAGATTAAATCCTATATTTTTGGCTATATTTTCCATCAGCCACTTGCCTGTTTGGATCACCAGATCACTAACTGTGGAATGAATGTATGTTTACAGAAAACTTAATTTGGAGGCTAGAGAGATGACTTAGAATTTCAAAAGTCTTTTTAAGAATTTTTTTTCAAAATCATATATTTGTTACAGGTGCTACATCCTGAAGTCCAAAGACTAGATCTCAGGAGCTGTGATATCTCGGACTTGGCTCTCCAGCACCTGTGCAGATGCAGAAAACTGAAGGCACTAAACCTGAAATCGTCCAGAGAACATAGAAACAGCATCACTTCAGAAGGTATGCTTACGATCACTGATGCTTAGCACCTGATCTTAGAGGAGAACATAAAGGCACCAGCAAAGAGGGAGAGGTTAGAGTTTGGGAATATGAGCAAGGTACAATGGTATATATGTATAAAAATTTTAAAAATGAAACATTATTTTGTATGTTAATTAAATTTTTAAAAAAAGAGAGATAGAGAATATGAGCCAGGCATAAAACTGTAATTCCAGTCTAGAGAGCGAGATCCAGGACAAGCTCCAAAGCTACACAGAGAAACCCTGTCTCCAAAACAAAACAAAACAAAAACAAAAACAAACAGAAAGAGTTTAAGGCAAGCCTGAGCTACATAGTCAGTTTGAGATCAGCCTGGAATACAATGAAACTGTCACAAAAAGAAAACAAAAACTACTGTTTTGATTTTTAGGGTTGGGTCTTAGTATGTTGCTGTTGGTTGACTTGGTATTCACTTTGTAGAATACCTAGTTTATCCTGGAACTCCTAGTAATCCTCTTGCCTCAACCTCCAGCATGGTTAAGGCACTTGGCTAGTTAATCATTTGTTTATTGCTTGTTTGTTTGTTGATGGGCTCTCACTACCTAGCCCTGGTTGGTCTCAAACTCACAGAGATCCTCTTGCCATCTGCCTCCTGGGTGCTGGGAAGAAAGGCTTTTACCACCACTTTTTTGATGCAGTATTATAATAGAAACAATCTTCAGATTAAGATGGGTGGGGTGGCTCTTACTTGTAAACCCAACACTTGAGAGGTGAAGACAGAGAGATCAAGAGATCAGGCAAGGACATTCTCAGCTACATACTCAATTTTAGGCCAGGTGAACTACATGATTCCCTATCTCAAAAAAAAAAAAAAAAAAAAAAAGACAAATCAGATAAACTAGGCAATCTTTATAAAACTGTCTAATACCAAAACCAAAACTCTTACGGAGGCTTTGCCTTGAGAGATGGTTCAGCAGTTAAGAGTACTTACTGCTCTTGTAGGGGAAACAAGTTCAGTTCCAGCACCCACACAGCTGCTTCCAGTCAGTAGCTTCAGTTCCCTAGGATGCAATACCTTCCCCACCTCTTTGGGTACCACACATTGTACACATGTGCACAAACATGCATGCAGGAAAAACATATAGACACATAAAATAAAAATTAAAAGATGACTTGCAGTATGTTTTATATCCAAACTATTTTCTCAGAATAATTACATGAAATAATGGATTTTTATATTTGGTTAAGTTTGGGTTTTTTTCTAGTATAAATCACTTTTCAGTTTAGGATTTGAACTTTTTTTCTTTTTAGTATACTAAAGAAGTACTAGCTGGATATGGTAGCACTCACCTATAATCCCAACACTCAGAAATCTGAGGCGGGAGAATCTGGAGTTCCAGGCTGGTGTGAGCTATGTAATGAGGTAGTCTCAAACAAACGGAAGTCAGGCAGGGAGGAGGGCAGGACTTCTTTGCATAAGAACATTTCTGGATAATTGTTTGGCTAGTTGACCATATATCTCAATCATTTGGGTTATCCACTTGGGATATTCATAATACTGTAAAAAAAAAACATAAGTTTTGAAATGTTTAACTCATTAAAAAAGGGCTCTAAGAGAGCATAGCCTACCTGATAGTGAGTTTGTTTCTCTATACGAAGCAGTTATCTTACTCTCCATACACCAGCTAGATTGTTTTTTCATTTTTAATTTATTTCCTGCCTGTAATGTCCTGTGGAGGTCAGAGAACAGCTTGGGAGAGTTGGTTCTTTGTTCCCACAATCTGGATCCCAGGAATTTGGCAGCAAGGACATTTTCTCACTGAGCTGTCTGCCAGCCCCAGTTGAATTTCTTATCATTTAACTTGGTTCTGTCATTCTCTACTTGGAGTTAGTATCACATCCCACAGCCAAGTCTGCCTTGCAAGACTGTCTCCAGTTCATATGCCGGTCCCAAGTCCTGGCCTCCAGTAGGTACTTCTGTCTAATCAGCTGTACAAAATTTCTGCAAGTTATTCCTTGTGACAAGGCAAAGGTTCCTACATGTTGTGTCAGCTGGAACCACCTTTGGTTTAACTGACCCCAACCCCCTTTCCTATCCCTGCAGTTAGAAAGTAACCAATCCTATTCTAGAAATTCAGAATCAAAGTCCCCAGCTAACTGCATGTTTTTGGCTTCTGTTAAACTGCTTGCTTGCCTTACTTCCCCCTGCAACTGCCAACCAGACTCTTGTTTTTCTGTGATTTTTTTTCTTTTCTTTTTTTTTTTTTTTTGCCTTTATAAGCTTTAAAAGTAAAATGAATTTGAGGATGCTCTGTGAGGACTGTTTCTCTCCAGCTAAATAAAGACTCTCCATTTCAGACTTTGGTGGTGCTGAGTGGTCTCTGGGTCTCAACCCTGCAACATTCCTCAGGATTCAATAATTTGTCACCTTGGCTCACAAAATTCAGGAATGCACTTTGCTTTGTTACAGTTTATGTGAGAAAGTTACAGGCCATCACGACTATAAGGCCAAATAAGAGTCCTTTATTTAAGCCAGAGTAGGCTCCTATCACAAAGAATTCTCGGCCAGAAGTTCAGGAATGCACCATTGATACACATAAAAACCACAATAGCATCATTGTTAGGTGGAGGTTAGGGGAGCCTTGTAACATTCACTGTGACAGAACACAATGGTTGTTTTGGTTATTTATTTAGCAGTTATTTGGTTATACATCTGGGCTATGGTCAGGGACATGGAAATGTGCTGCCAAAATAGATAGAGTCATTCAAGGAGTGGGTTTTCAGTGGAAAGTACACCTCAGCAGACATAAAATGGAGTCAAGGTAAGGTCAGGACAAGATGGTGTGACTTCAGTCACTGCAGTGCATGTCTGCTGGTTGATTACACATGGTATTTATAAAAGACACAGATGAACAGCCACACAAGGAGAACGTAGGGGAGGGTCTAGCAGGGTCCCCAAGACCGGAGCTTTTGCTCCAGTGGGTTTGGAGTTTTAAGTCAATAGCCAGCTGTGGCAGCCCCAGAAATCTAGACTCTGCCACCTATACCAAATTACCAACTAAGGAAATAAGTAATGATGAAAACCAGAGAGAAGAAACTTAATCAGTGTACAATGGAAAGAGGAACAGATAAAGAGGTCCAATAATCCCAAATTCATCTTTGGGGGTACTGACATAAGCCTAGGCTCAAGTAGAGAATGAATTAGGGCAGGATAGCAAGTATGCCTAATTAGTCGTCCTGCTCAAGATAAGGTTCCACCTACCTCTGATCAGTTCTACTCTGGTACCTCTGCTATAACCTAGGAAAACAATCTGTTCCCTACAACATGGTTACTTCCGCTATGGGGTGAGCCCTCACCTTCATGAGTACTTCTCCCGTTCTTAAATAGTTTCCCTCTGAGATATGGCTCTTTAAATCAAAGATGCCTGCAGGTTTAGGGCAATTACTTACTACTGTACTTTCAATCAGTGTTTCAAGTAGGTCGGAGCCAAGTGTTTGCAGATTCTTGGCCTCACTCAAAGAACTGAAAGCAGGGGACAGCTCACACAGATTTGCAAAAGAAAGAAGTATGATAATTTTATTCAGAATGAAATCAAAGTACAAATTTTAGCAGGATATACTTTCAAGATTGACTATGAACCACTCAAGAAAATTTAAGGGACCCAAGCTATAGCCTAGGGTTTCTTGTTATAGAGATGCAAGGGACACCTTCCACTGAATCTAAACACTTAGTAACTGATTAGAACCTCAGTAAGTTTTGAATGTTGTACATCCAGAGGCAAATTACAATTACCCTCAGCTTTCTTAATAGACATTTATTGTCTTCCTCTGTGTGTGATCTAAAGATCAGTCCTTTGGAATGTAAAAACAGACTCCTTGTTTCCTCCTATCAAAAAGCCAAGAATGCCAACAGATAGCATCTGAAGCCTATAGGTATGATCATTGCCTGCTCTTCCAAAGGTCCTGAGTTCAATTCCCAGCAACCACATGGTGGCTCACAACCATCTGTAATGGGGTCTGGTGCCCTCTTCTGGCCTGCAGGCATAGACGCAGACAGAATTTGTATACTAAATAAATAAATAAATAAATATTTTTTTTAAAAGTATTCCAGGGCTGGAGAGATGGCTCAGTGGTTAAGACCATTGCCTGCTCTTCCAAAGGTCCTGAGTTTAATTCCCAGCAACCACATGGTAGCTCACAACCATCTGTAATGGGGTCTGGTGCCCTCTTCTGGCCTGCAGGCATACAGACAGAATATTGTATACATAATAAATAAGTAAATAAATAAATAAATATTTTTAGAAAATTATTCCAATTCAGGATTTCCTTAGTTCTATTACTATAAAAAATACTATGAAACTGTTAACTTGGAATGTGAACTTGGGAATAACTTGAACCAGTGTTCCACGGCCATGGTCATTCATATCAGGCTCTAGAATAAATATTTCATACCCCTTTGAGGTAAGAGTAATGTTTTTGCATCAACTGACCTAAAGAAGGACTGATTACTAAAGGGCATAGTTTAGGTGGATCTCTATTTTGTTTGCTAGATTAAGTCATATATTGATTTTTTTCCTATTGTGCCCGTCCCTTCCCATAATTTCTCTTCTGTGCCCAGTTATGCATAGGTACAAAATGGTAAATAGGGGATTCTCCCTGAAAGGGAGGACTAAAAAACACAATTCTGCCTTCTGGTGATATACCCCAAACCAGTAGTCTATCCTGAATTAACCCTTCTATTATCTGTACCTGGATACATTGGAAATACATTTGTTATTAGGGTCTTGGAGAGGGTCTGTACTATTTTTCAAAGGTGGGCATACAAGTAGCCTGATGGAGATCCTGAGACTGCTAGATGTATATGTGCACAGTATGTGCAGATGAAGGAGTAGATAGATGTATGTCTGCCAGATGCAGACATAAAACAAGGGCAGAGGTTTCAGGCTTACAGCCTGCTTTTAGTTGCCTTGTCAGTCCAAGTGAATGGGCAATCATTTTTAACAAAAACAGTCTTAAGAAAAACCTATTTCAATGTCACTAGAAGAATAAGTAAATCTTCTTAAGTATCTAACAGGGCTGTTCCTTTGGATTTGCCCTCTGCTTCTTTTCCCTTTTGCCTATCCATTCCTCTTATCATTTGCTGAAAAGATGCCAATTGCCAAACCTTTCTCTAGAGCCTCAGAACCAGAATATCTAGACTTCATAATGTCCCTCCTTAGTTTTTAGTTAATAATTATGAAACTTAACATACAGAATATGTCTATCTTAAGACAGGAAGCCAGTCATGGTGACTCACACTTGTAATTCCAACACTTTAGAAGCTGTGCCAGGGTGATTGTTGTGAGTTCAAGGCCAGCCTGGACTACACAGTGAGTCCCTGTCTGACAAAACAAGAGGAAGGGGGATAAAGTAATGAATGTATAAATAAAAGAAGTAGCTACAGAAGGCCTATGTCCATTGTAATGTTCTGGTCAAAGAAAAAGGAAGGAAACACAGGATGATGCATGGTACAAACACGCCATCCCTCCCTATAGCACCTGGCCTACCAAGAAAAGCCTGTACGTTATGATGCTCTCTTGAGAATCCTACCCTTCCTGTGTAGTAAAACTTCCTCCTGATTTATTACTTGGTCTCTGAATTCTTTGCCAGTGACAGTAACTTGGAAATACCTAGTAGAAGACCTCATCTGGGTAAAACTCTAAGAATTCCCCTATCAGTCCTCACCACTAACAAAACTGCAACCTCCACACATCTACATTCCATGTGTCTACACTTTGTTGTGGGATAGACTACTTTAAAAATGACTAACACACAATTGGTCGGACTGGAGAGATGGCTCAGCGATTAAGAGCACTGACTGCCTTTCCCAAGGTCCTGAGTTCAATTCCCAGCAACCACATGGTGGCTCACAACCATCTGTACTGAGATCTGCTGCCCTCTTCTGGCATGCAAGCATACGTGCAGACAGAACAGTATATATAATAAATAAATAAAATCTTTAAAAAACATACAATTGGCTATTGTTAAAATGTAAATCCATCCTAGTCACATTTCTTACACACATACACACACACACACTACAGCTCAACGATAGTGCATTTGCCTATTTTATATGATGCAAAATAGTGGCTTCACTTGAAGAAGATAAGAAAATATTTTATTCAGAACCCAATATGGGTAACCTAAAATGATGTGGGAGTGATTTCTTATTAATAAAGAAACTGCCTAGGCCCCTTGATAAGGCCCACCCTTAGGTGGGTGGAGAAAACAGAGGAGAATTCTGGGAAAAAGAAGCTTAATGAGAGGAGTCGCCATGATGCTCCCACTCCAGATAGACGCAGGTTAAGATCCTCTCTGGTAAGCCAGCTCATGGGCTACACAGAATATTAGAAATGGGTTAGAACAATATGTAAGAGCTAGCCAATAAGAAACTGGACCTAGCCGGGCCAGGCAATGTTTGAAAGAATACAGTTTCCGTGTAATTATTTCGGGCATAAGCTAGCCATGCGGGCGGCCGGGTGCTGGGGACGCAGCCCTGCCGCTCCTATTTCAACAGATGGCGCCCAGACGTGATGGGCTAAATCCACTTAAAAACCTGAGAGGGCTTAAAAAGGAGAGAGAGAGAATTTAAGACAGCTTTTTGCTGTTTCTGGGTTGCGTGCCGCAAAGAAATTGTCCTGACTCGGCAGCAGGAAAAAACTGGCTGTTTTAAAATGCCGGCTTTCTGGGCTGTGCCGCCATTGTGATCTCTGTCTGGCTCCGGCGGGAGACAGAGCTTATGAATGGAGCATTTGGATTAAAGTGCTACGATTTGTTTGATGGCAACTAGACTGCTGTGTGCCTAAAAGGGGGACATTGTGTGCCGCAGCTCAGAGGCACAAGCAGCTCCGCCATGCTAATGGTGCAATGTGCAAGGATCAGAGGCACGAGCGGCTCCGCCATGTTGGACTGGGCGGGGCCAGCATACAGTACCTGTTTTTGACCTAGGAATGTCACAGCTTAGATTCTTAAGCGCTTAGTGATTTAAAGGCGCAAAACAAAGTGCTCCTGGATAGTAAAAAAATTACAGATTCACAATAAAACAGATTCAGACACTGTTGGATGAATGTACGTAGGCTTGGGAAAGAGAAGAAAAAGAATATAAAGAATAAAGTTAATGTCTTAAAAAGAAAAAGGGTAAAGTCTTTAAAGAGACAGAGTACAGAAGTACAGATAGTTATAGATTAAGAGAAATAAAGAAAAATAAGCCACGTAAAAATGGAAAATTCACAGAGAGTCTGGATTATGTACATTGTGTTTTCTTTAAAATTTTTGACTGTGAAGGAGCTAAGTACAGAGAGACATTTCATTATATGGGCTGCCAAGCTAAACCAAAATGGATTTCATGAGGGTATTATGATTTCAGAATTTGGGTCTAAGGATATGATGCTTTGGAGAGGGTCTTCTTTTGTTTTTGCAGAGGATGAGACCCTGTGGATTGCATCTATTCCGATTTGGTATGATAGACCACGCCCTCCTGAAAGGTTGCTGTGAACACCCTCAAAAAATTGCTTCGCTCAATTGCCAACTGAGATGAAACTAGCACACAGGTTATATCATGAACGACCTAATTAACGACGCCCCTATTCAGCAGGAAGCAGTTTGGAGAGAAAAAACTACGCCCATGTTCCCAAATATTGTTTATAAATGTTCTTTTACATTTAAAGGGGGATATGATATAGATATGAATAATTTGCATTGGTATGGATTTTAAGGTCAATTTTGTTATATGTATATGTATTTTTGATCTTGATTAAGGTATTGTGATTGTGTAGTTCATTTAAAAATGTAATGTATAATTAGGAAATATAGGTTGTTAATGGATAATCATCGCTAATAGTTAAGCTTGTAGTCATGTTAATTAGATTTTCTAGATATATAGAGATATATTTCAGTTAGATAGACATTCTTCATATCTCTCAAAGACTGCAGAATATGGCATTTAAAATATTTTAATAACTTAGGACTTTTCATGACAAGGAGACACGTCTGCTCCTGGCAGCACCAGCTACTTCAAGAGGAAGATGGGCATCGAAGAGGATCCTTATGGAGTTTGATAGCCATTTGGGCAAGAAACTGCTCTTGCCTGGACTGTTGCATAAACTGGACACAGAGAACCCGCAGAGAGAGGACTGCTGAACTTGCCTAAAGGTGAGATGGTCTTTCGGGGTTCCTGATTCATGAAAGAGTCTGCGAGACATTCTGCAGGACACAGCAGAAAATGACTGAACTGTCTTTGAAATTTCCTGCTTCATGGAAATGTCTCTGGATACCATGGGCCTGTAGGCCGAAGATGGATGCCCCAACGGTACAGAGGAACTTTGGGTGACTGTCCAGGCAGCGAGATGTCTCTGTCATTTCTAGAGTTTTCTTATTTCTTGTTTACTTAGATAATATTATATCCTTCTGGAGTCTTTGATGGAGTTGAAGAATGAATAGTTATAGTTTTCCTTAGTTATGATAAGAGATAAAATAGATATAAATATTGTAACTGTAATTCTTACTTGATAACTGTTTTGTTATATGTAATTTTACTATGTTAAAGTTAAAGCCTTTCTTTTTTGTTTAAACAGAAAAAGGGGAAATGATGTGGGAGTGATTTCTTATTAATAAAGAAACTGCCTTGGCCCATTTTATTGGATAGAAAATTAGGTAGGCGGAGTAGACAGAGGAGAATGCTGGGAAAAAGAAGCTGTGTGAGGAGTCGCCATGGTTCTCCCGCTCCAGACAGACGCAGGTTAAGATCCTCCCTGGTAAGCCAGCTCGTGGGCTACACAGAATATTAGAAATGGGTTAGAACAATATGTAAGAGCTAGCCATAAGGAACTGGAACTATCCGGGCCAGGCAGTGTTTGAAAGAATACAGTTTCCGTGTAATTATTTCGGGCATAAGCTAGCCATGCGGGCGGCCGGGTGCTGGGGACGCAGCCCTGGTGCTCCTATTTCAACACTAAAATACTGATTCCAATTTTCCAGAAAAAGTATTCCAACATAAAAGGAACTGTAATGACTTTTTAAAATATAAGACAAAGATACTGTATAGCATTGCATCCAGTGACTACATTTCATGGACGTAAATCATATTGCTAATTTAAAATAAAGCAAGGAAACTCTGACCATTGGACAGCATCTTACTGCATTCATACTGTGGTAAATAGTACAGTCAAGTCTGGAGTCTATTCTTTGTCAAGGTAGGTATTGCTAACATGCATCCACAGAGGTTACCTAAAAGAAGAAAAGACAGCCTCTGGAATCTATTCCTGCAGGCTTCCGGTAAGCCTGCCTGTGTTGATATCTCAGAGAGGAAGTCCTTGTCCATCTGATGCTTAAAGAAATTCTATTCTGACAATTTTGGAGCATTTTAATTTTGTGATATACATTTATAACCATTTAGTTCACTGATAGTAACTGTGTTTCCCCTAGGAATAAAAGCTGTAGCTTCTTCGTGTTCCGACCTTCATGAAATTTCTTTGAAAGGATGCTGCAGTGTCACTGATGAAGGAGTCCTTGCTCTTGCACTCAACTGCCAGCTCCTAAAGATCATTGATTTGGGTGGCTGCCTAGGTATCACTGACATGTCCTTACATGCACTAGGAAAAAACTGCCCATTATTGCAGTGTGTTGACTTTTCAACTACTCAGGTGAGATATAACTCGACACAAATTATGTGCTGTCTCTATTATCTATGACTAATCAGAATATCAAAATTAATTCTTTTATTATTATTGAGGCTGTTGATCATCTTGTGATACAGGCAGTATGAGAATGATTTTTCTGGAATGCCTCTTGTAGCTGGCCTTCAGACACAGAGCATTTGCCCGACACGGTAGCCAATTTAGTCATATGCTTTGAGATCATCTAAAGCTATATACTGTGTATTCAGTTTAAATACCACTTACCTTTAAGAAAAACAACATAATCTTACTGTATTTTGTACTCTCCATGTAACTCAACTTTTAAAAGCTAAGGTGAACACATAGCTTTGATCTCAAACTATATTCCTTACTCAAAACCACTCTGTGCCGTGATTCAGAAGGATGTATATGTCTCCCTTGTAATCCTTCCATGTCCCTAACTCAGAACAATGCATGTGTTATAAGGTATGATAACATGTTTTGTGGTTTTGCTTGCTGTTCTGAGTCTATAGGGTCAGAGAAAGTACTTCTTCCCTTGTAAAACTCCTGTAAAAGACAAAACAAAACTCACTCCTATACCCTGCTTGGTGTGCTTTTCAATAAACAAAGTGTGGTCCTTAGTTAGGAGGCACCGAGCTCACACTTGAGTAAACAACTCCAGGAGTCAGTTTCGTTCATGCTGCACTGCCATGGGTGGTTAGTGATTGTTCTAGAATCTACATCGTAAGTAACAAAGATGGGGAGAACATGTGACTAAAATGCCTGTGTGCTGGATGAGAGGCAGTCATTCTGTCATTCTTCATGATTAACGCACTTGAGGAGTTCTCTTGTCTCCATCACAGGATGTATTTCTTTTCCCTTTCGTTCAGGTGTCTGACAGTGGTGTGGCTGCACTTGTTAGTGGACCATGTGCCAAACAATTAGAGGTAACTTTTAAATGTCTATGAAAACACTAAAGTTTATTTTATCTTCAAGAAAAAAATTACGGTTATTGGTGGGCAGGTGCCAGAGAGCAACTCTGTGGCCTCTGTCTGCTGAGACATCTTCTCCCTCTGGCCCTTTTATGGGGCAGTTTGTTTGCTTGTTTGAATGCTTGTTTTTTCTTTCTATTTTGAGCCCACACTGGCCTTGAACTTGCAGCAGCAGTCTTCCTGCCTCCATCCTCCCACAGGTAAAGTTGCAGCAAGTGTGATTCCATACCAAGCTTTCATCCTATTTCCTTTCTAAAAAATGCATTTGTGTTCTGGGGCTGGAGAGATGGCTCAATGGTTAAGAGCTTTGGTTGTTCTTCCAGAGGACCTGGGTTCAGTCCCTGGCATCCACATGGCAGCTCACAATTGACTGTAATTCAAGTTCCAGTGCATCTAACTTCACACAGACATACATGCAGGCCAAACACCAAATGTACATTTAAAAAAAAAAAGTGTGTTTGTGGTGGCTCATGTGCTTTAATCCCAGCATTCGGGAGGCAGAGGCAGGCATATCTCTGTGAGTTCAGGGCCAGCCTGGTTTATACAATAAGTTCCAGGCCAGCCAGAGTTACATATTGAGATCCTGTCTGAAGAAAAATTTTATTTTTATTTCATGCAAATGGATGTTTTTCTTGCATATGTATCTGTGCACCACATGCCTGACAGATGCTTGAGGGAGCCGGAGGAGGATATCAGATACCCTGGAACTGGAGCTGAAGACAGTGTGGCACACTCTGTGGATGCTGTGAATCAAATCCAGGTCCCCTGGAAGAGCAGTTATTTTAGATCATATTTAGTTTACATAGACATCAGTTATTTTGGTTAACACATTTGGACCATGGTCAGAGTACTGGAAAACCCCAAATGTGTTGCCAAGGCAGACATGGCTGTTGGAAGGGCAGAGGGCTGAGAAGTGTCTACGCAGACACAAAGTGGAGTCAGAACAAGATGGACTTACATTAGTCACCTTAATATTTTTTATATAAAATTATATTCCAGACTTTTTTGTGCATCTAGTTTTAATTTTTTATTTCATTTTGTTTTCTCCGTAGGAGATTAACATGGGGTATTGTATAAATCTAACCGATACGGCTGTAGAAGCTGTCCTGACTGCCTGTCCTCAGATACGTATACTTCTTTTCCACGGCTGCCCCTTAATAACAGGTCAGTCTGACAGGTTGCTTGTATTTAATTTTGACTTCCTCTTTTACCAACTGTAGAACTTTGAGACAATTCCTTAGTCCTTCAATTCCATTATTCATTGTACTTATCAGTAAAATGATGTAGTGATGTACTTCCTTCATAGGCTTTTACTCGTGGTGATTATCTGATCTATCGGGGTCGCAAAATGGGTACTAGTCATGGCAAGGGTGGTGGTAACGGTGGTGGTGACGGTGGTGGTGATGGTGGTGGTGGTAATGGTGGTGGTGACGGTGGTGGTGATGGTGGTGACGGTGGTGGTGACAGTGGTAGTAATGGTGGTGACGGTGGTGGTGACGGTGGTGGTGATGGTGGTGGTGACGGTGGTGGTGATGGTGGTGACGGTGGTGGTGACTGACGGTGGAGGTGATGGTGGTGGTAATGGTGGTGGTAAGGCTCAGTGCTCCCCAGAGAAGGATGATGATGCCAGCAGTGGTCATGAGCACAGTGTTAAGATGATGGTCTATGTAGACGATAAAAAATGTCAAGCTTATTACATCTATTAGAGGCGCTAAGTGTCCAGTTGACTGCTGTTTCCTCAAGATGTAGAAAGTGAGATTAAGAGCAATTTAACAGTCAGGTGTTGTTTTATCAACAGCACAGTGACTGCACCTGAATCTACTACTGTTTCAGCTATAGGCTGCAGCTCCACAATCACAGCCCACTGCTCAAGCTGAGGCCTGCAGGACTTCTGCAGCCCCCAGAACCATGTCTGCCTCTGCAGCCAAATGTAGTTTTAACTAAGTCTCTAGCCCCCAGAACCGTGTCTGCCTCTGCAGCCAAATGTAGTTTTTAACTAAGTCTCTATCATTCTATTTTGCCAGTAAAGACTTGGGAGTCAGATACTGGGGTGAAAACCTGCTAGCTCAAACCTGTTGACCCAGCAAGAGATTATCTCTTCCACAATCCCAAACCAAAAAGGGCCACCACACTCTACTTCCTGTGTGTTTATCTATTTTCTAGACTCCCTCAAACTGTCTGTGACTGCTTCCTGTCAACTAGTTGTTGACTCCACCTCTTGACCCAAGGTTTTATTTAATTAATGCAAACTTGGGGTTCACAGTGTGATCAATATCCCGCAACAGTGGGGGTGGGGCTGGGTGGAGCATGCCTTTAATCCCAGGACTTGGGAGGCAAAGGCGCTGGATCTCTGTGAGTTCCAAGTCAGCCTGGACTACAAACTGAGTTCCAGGACAGCCAGGATGACACAGAGAAACCTGTCTGGGGTGGGGTTTGGGGGAGAGCAATTTAACCAGGCATCATGATTTATTCCTGTAATCCCAACACTCATAAGGCAATGTAGGGTGGATGGCTTCTTGTTCAAGGTTAGCCTGAGCTATGTAGTAATTTCTAGGCTGGCTTAGGCTACAAACACCCTGTCTCAAATACCACCATAACAAAAAATTTTTCCATTGAAAGCTGAGGAGATGGCTCACCAGGTAAAGCTCTTGCTGCACAAGAATGAGGCCCAGTGTCTGGATTCCCAGATTCCACCTGTAGTTCTAGCTTATGCACACACAGGAGGTAGAGACAGGGAATCCCTGAAAGAAACTGACTAGCCAAACTAGCTAAAATGGCAAGCTCCTGGATCAGAGACAAAAGGTGGAGAACAATCAGAAAGACACCCAGTGTCAACTGTAGACTTCCACACACATGTCCACCTACACACACACACACACACACACACACACACACCACATATGCAACAATAACCACAAAATATCTGCCTTTCCATTGAGTTATGTATGCACTTTTCTTATATAATGAATAAGCAAAGATGCTTATAAAGTAACTCCTACATCTCTTATAAACTATTATCATGATTATGATTATCATTGACCCTAGGCTAGTCCAGAACTCTAGACCTGGGGCAAAGTAGTAGAGGGATTCTTGTAGCCCTCAGTCTAAGGATTTGCTACTTAGGCTTTCTATGTGATTTGACAGCTCCACAGCAGTTCCCTCTGCCTAAGGGAAGTCTTACATAATAAGCCTAAGTCTTACATAATAAGCCTAAGTCTTACATAGTAAGAATGTAGGTATTTCTCAACCTCTTCACCTTCCTGGACAGCATGCCGAGTCTCTAAGCTCCAAGGACATACTACCCTCCCCAAGGGAACTTAGAGCCATTCTTAATAGACTTCAGGTAAAATAAAAACACCTTCAGAATTCTCACTAAATACTCCAGTCACAGCTGTCTCCAAAGATTTTTTGATTTCTAATTTTCTCTTTCCCACTTTAAAAAAAAAGGGGGGGGCGTCTGTGTGTGTGTGTGTGTGTATGTGTGCGTGCGTGTGTATGTGGTCAGTGCCTTCAGAGCCAGGAGAGGGCACTGGATCCCCTGGAACTGGAGCTGCAGGCAGTTGTAAACTGAAGTTGTGTGAGAGAGCGCCAGTACTCTCAGCCGCTCCAGCTCCCTGTTCTGACACTTCCCCTACTTTAAGATGGATGAACTCCTGTGGTCTCTACAATCTGAATGCTGAACAAGCAGACTGTGAAATGAACTCTGTGGACAGAGGTTTCTGGTTTTCAGCTGTTAGCTGAAATAGCTCTGTCTTAATATGCTTTGTCTAGGGGTAGCTTGCATATACAACATGTTATAAAATTCATCTCTGCTAATTCTGCTTTAAATGTTGTTCTGGTTACGATCTGGAAATAATCAAACTGGTATTTTCCCTTCTATTTTTAATAGAAACCAAGACAGGAAAAATATATACAGTCAATGAGGAAAATGATTTATTTATTTGTGTATGTGTTCACACGCCATGGTCAGGTCAGAAGGTAACTGCTGCAATCAGTTCTCCCCTCCAGCATATGAGTTTGGGGATCAAACTCTGCCAGGCTCAGTGGCAAGGAAATTTACTCATTGAACCATCTCACTGGCCCCCAACAGCTTAAAATAAATACCATACCAAGTAGAGAAATATCCAATTATGTGACAACCTTCATATAATAAAATTTTGTTTAAAGTTTAAAAAATGAAATAAATATAACACTTAAGAATAATGGAAATTTTAAAAGTACTGATTGTTGGAGGAGGCAGTTTGTTGGTTCCCGGCTGCTCAGCAGCTCAGCCCCCCGAAATAATCACACAGAAACCATATTATTTGCAATACTGTTTGGCCAATAGCCTAAGCATATTTCTGGCTAACTCATATCTTAAACTAACCCATCTCTATTAATCTGTGTATTGCAAAATGGCTGTGGCTTACCAGCTAAAGTTCTGACGTCCATCTCTGGCAAGACTACATGGCTTCTTTCTCTCTGCCTTCTTCCTCCCAGCATTCAGTTTAGTTTTCCCCCACCTAGCTTTTTTCTACCCTAACAGGCCAAGCCAGTTTCTTTATTCATTAACCAATAAAAGCAATGCATAGAGACTATGGTGGCACACACCTTTAATCCCAGCACTCAGGAGGCAGACGCAGGTGGATCTCTGTGAGTTTGAGACCAGCCTGGTCTACAGAGCTAGTTCCAGGACATGCTCCAAAGCTACAGAGAAAACCTGTCTTGAAAAACAAAAAAACAAAAAAACAAAAACAAAAAAAAAAAACGAAGAAAGAAGGAAAAAACCAGCAATGCATAGACAAAAGGAAAGGACCTCCCACGCCAACTACCCAAGGCATGAGTGGTGGTATGCTTGTGGAGGTGAAAAAAAAAGAACTACCCCCTTTTTGTGAAACTATGGAAGTGAAGCCTGGGTTACATTGAAGAACCCAAGATGTTAAAGGGGCCAGAGCCCAAGACGTCTGCAAAGGAGAGCTGCAGACAGAGTGGAACCAGCCCTAGAAAGAGAACTAAGTTGCAGGAAGCAATGCTAAAGAGATGGAGCCATCTAAGCCCTGACACCCGACATGGAGTTGTCCCTCTTTGGTCTAGTGTTTCCTCACTGTGTGACCATTCCTCCCTTTTAGAATGGTAATGTCATTGGAAGTAAGAAGTATATAATTTGCATTTTTATTTTATAAGGCTTACAATTAAGAGTATGCTCTAGGTGCACAGACCTTTAATTCTGGAACTTCAGAGGCAGAAGCAGGCAGTTTGAGTTTGAGGCCAGTCTGGTCTTTATAGCAAGGACTATGTAGAGAGGCCCTGGAAGGGGTAGGATTGGGAGACTGCTTTGAATCTTAGAGTTGATTCTGACCTTTGAATTTTTAAAAAGTGTTGAGTCTGAAAGACTGTGGAGACTTTTGAAATTGCACTAAAAATATTTTGCATTATGATATGGGCACAAACCTATGGGGCTAGGGAGTGGAGTGTGATGGTTTAAATGAGACTGATGCCCATGTGTTCATGTTCATATATTTGAATGGGTGGAAACGTTCAGAAAGAACTAGGAGGTGTGGCCTTCTTGAAGCAGGCGTGTGATGGAGGAAGGTCATTGAGCAATAAAGAAACTGCTTGGCTGGCCCTGATAGGTTAAAGCATAGGTGGGAGGAATAAACAGAATAGAATTCTGGGCGGAAGAGGAAGTGAGGTCAGACTCTGCTCTGCTCCCGGAGAGACCTGACAGCTCTGCGTCTCTGGAGCAGAGACGCCATGCTCAGCCCTCCCAGGTAGACGCAATAGCTCTGCGCTCTGAGGCAGACGCATGGAGCAGAGACCCACGATGGACGGAGGCTAGAATCTTCCCGGTAAGCGCACCTTGGGGTGCTTACACACATCATTAGAAATGGGCTAGTCCAGGTGTGAGAATTAGCCTGTAAGGGTTAGAGTTCATGGGCCATGCAGTTCTTAAATGAATACAGTTTGTGTGTTGTTATTTCGGGCATGAGCTAGCCAAGCGGCCGGGGTGTTGGGGATGCAGCCCGCCGCTCTTATTTCAACAGATGGCGCCCAACGCCCCAATGGGCTGGTATCACAGCAGCTATTGGTTGGAGGGGCGGAAGGACCTCCCGCAACAGGCATGTCTCTGAGGGCAGGCTTTGAGGGATGTTTGGTTTTGTTTCTTCAAAACCAAGGCTCTGTGTAACAGCCCTGGTTGTACTGGAACTCACTTTGTAGACCAGGCTGGCCTTAAACTCAGATCTATTTGCCTATGCCTCCCAAGTGCCATGATTAAAAGTGTATGCCTCCACCGCCCAGCTAGGCTTTGAGGTTTAAAAGACACCATTCCCGGGTAGACTCTCTCTGAACCCATCAGCCCACTTAAACTCTTCCTTTTATAAGTTGCCATGGTCATAGTTTTGTCACACCAGTAGAAATGTAACTAATACACATCTTATTAATAAAGGACAAGATCATCTCAACAGAAACAGAAAAACCATTTGAGAAAAATCAGGCACACATAATACTCCATATCCTGGTAAGAGGCATCTGTTAAAAAAAAAAAAAAAAAACCACCCAGTTAACACCAGGTGTAGTGGCACAAGATACTGACCAGTGAGTCAACATGTAAGAACTCGAACTCTCCAGCTTCCTTCTCTAGCACCGTGTCTGCCTGCATGATGCTTTGCTTCTCACCATGATGATAATGAACTAAACCTCTGAAAATGAAAGTGAGCCACCACAGTTAAATGCTTTCCTTTATAGAGTTGCTATGGTCATGGTGTCCCTTCACAGCAATAGAAACCCTAACTAAGACAACCCCTAGCAGAGGTGAGAGTGACTGAGACATCATCTGTCTGCTTTTATCATGGTCTAGACTATACTTCCAGAAGACACCTGAAAGTTGCCAGTTATTGTTCCAAACTTCCAGTCATCTTGGATTCCAGGAACAATGGATTTCTGATGTTGAAAGTGTTATTAGTGACTTCTCCTTAGAGCTTCCAAAAGGAACTACAGACAAGCCAAAGCCTAATTTTAGTCCAATTTTAAAGTACTATTTTAAATACCATTTTAGAATACTGTCCTTTAAAACTGTATAATAATAAATTGAAAATGAATTAAATTTATGTCCTGGCAATGCTAAAGAATGCATGAGCTGTATATGGCGATTCTGTTGAACCTGTCCATGTTGGGTTTCAAGATCTAAGTTGATGAGGACAACTGACCAGGTCAGCGCCTTCCTCAAGAGGGCACCAGATCTCATTACAAACGGTTGTGAGCCACCATGTGGTTGCTGGAAGTTGAACTCAGGACCTTTGAAAGAACAGGCAGAGCCATCTCTCCAACCCATAATAATTAATTGATGCTGATTTAAACCACTGAATTAGGTGCTTGTTACAGCAGCAATAGGAAACTAATACAAGGTAAAAACATTGAGTTTTCCAGTTTTCCGATGTTGAAACCCAGGCAATCATGGTATGTGATTCTTTTTTAGTTGCTAGATGTGGGTATTGAAGGTTTTCTTGACGATTTTTGAGTCTATATTCATAGGAGATCTTGATTTGTTTTTTTTTTCTTTTTTTTTTTCTTCCTAACTTCTTCCCTTCCTTTCTCTTTTTCTCTTTCTTTTTTTTTTTTTTTGGTTTTTCTTTTTTTATTATTTATTTATTATGTATAAAATATTCTGTTGGTATGTATGTCTGCAGGCCAGAAGAGGGCACCAGACCTCATTACAGATGGTTATGAGCCATCATGTGGTTGCTGGGAATTGAACTCAGAACCTTTGGAAGAGCAGGCAATTCTGTTAACCACTGAGCCATCTCTCCAGCCCTTTTTTTTTTTTTCAGTTTTTCAAGACAGGGTTTCTCTGTGTAGTTTTGGAGCCTGTCCTGGAACTCACTCTGTAGACCAGGCTGACCTCAAACTTACAAAGGTCCACCTACCTCTGCCTCCCAAGTGCTGGGATTAAAGGTGTGCACCACTACCTTTAATAAGACCGCCCAGGTCTTTCTTCCTTTCTTTTGTGATATCTTTGACTATATCTGATGTCAAGACAGTAGTGGCCTTGAACAGAATGAGCTTCCTTCTACAAAGTCTCTCCAGCTTTGTACAGTAGCTCTTCGCCCGTGCTGCGTATTTGACCGGTTCATTACTTTTTTTTTTTAAAGATTTATTTATTATGTACACAGTGTTCAGCCTCCATGTATGCCTGCAAGCCAGAAGAGGGCACCAGATGTCAGTACAGAAGGTTGTGAGCCCCGTTTCATTACTTTTAACATGTGCTTTTGTTCATCTGTTGGGGCGCTGGAGTTGCACACAGAACCCTGCACATGCTAAGCAAGCATTGTACCATTGACTTACACCCCTAACCTGTAATCTCTATTTCTGCTCTTTAATTTACATTTTTAAAAATGTTGTGTGTTCCTATGTGTGAGGTGCACATGTGTGTGGAGGGGTATATGCACGTGTTTGTGTGCCTATGAAAGCAAGAGATAACCTCAGTTGTCCTTCAGGAGTCATCCACTGAGCCCCAGGGATTTCCTGTCTCCACCTGCAAATCTTTTTTTTTTTTTTTTAAGTCAGGGTTTCTCATTGTGTTGCCTTAGCTGGCCCAAAACTTAATATGTATACCAGTCTGAGCTACATAGAAAAGAGCTTATCTCAAAAGAAAAAAAAATAATAATCACATTGTTAGGTGGGCTAGATCTAATGATAGTGAAGAGTACCATTAAGCAAAATAAATAAATTTTATAAATTATTTATTTGTGTGTAGATGTGTCATCTAGTGTACGTGTAGAGGAGGTGAGACTATTCACTCTGCCATGTGACTCCCAGGGATGGAACCTGGGTTCTCAGTTGGCAGGAACTGCACTTCCCTCTTGAGCCATCTCACCAGCCCCACTGCGTTTTACAGTTCATTTTATTTTCAGTCCTTCGAATAACCCTGTAATAGCTTTCATCACACCTCGTTTGTTTTTCTTTGTTTATGCTAAGAGAGCATCTTATATAGTCCAGGCTAGCCTTATGAGCTGGATCCGCCATAAATTCCTGACTCTCCTACCTACACCTCTCAAGCACTAATATTACAGGCATGCATTATCACACCCAGCTTACATCCAGTTTACATTTAAAAAAACATTAAATATCTTTTATTGTAAATTGATATATTGTTGTTTTCTTTTATAGATCATTCACGAGAAGTCTTGGAGCAATTAGTAGGATCAAGAAAACTAAAGCAAGTGACGTGGTCTGTTTATTGATCTTACTGAGGCGGATTACAGGAGCCTTCCCAGGAACTTATTATAACACTAATTTATTACTTATTGTCTTAGTTAAACTGTAACTCCCAGAGAACCAGTTCAATCTTAATGTGAACATTTGTGCTTTTAAGTTAACCAGACTCAGCATTTAGCACTCCTGTAATCCCGTATTTGTTTGATGACCCATCTTTTTGTTTTAATGGTGACCCTGGTGTGAACTGTACCTGATGGAGAGGAGGCTGGGTTTGTTTTTAATAACAACAGTTTCAAATGATTCATTTCCCCTTTATAGTCCTTTCTCTGGTTAGGTATCTGAGCTGTTGAATTCTAAATAAAGATGCTTTTAAAAGTGTAATTACCTTCTGAGTTGATTTCTAGCTTTTACCTGCATGAAATGTTCAGCCAGAAGCAAAGTGGAGCATAAAGCCTGTTACCTCCTCACAGAACCGGAATACCTGTTTCACTGCAATCAATGGTAATAATTCACATTAAAATGAGACACTTAGCTGCAGAAGCGACTCAGTGGTAGAGCCCATGCCCAGCTTGTATGATGCTAGGGTTGAATAGTCAACACCAAAAAAAATTAAAATTAAAATTTACAAAAAAGGGGGGCAGTCATTCAATATATTCATATTACTGAGGCTTTTGCTCAGACATTCATTTCATTGATTCCTGCCCCCCCTCAGTTCTAGGGCTTGGTCTCAGGGCCTCATACATACTAGGCAGTCATGCTACCACCGAGCTATATCTCAGGGCAACTTCATTGGGCTTTACAGCTGCTCTTTTTTTTTTAAAAAAAAAATATTTATTTATTATGTATACAATATTCTGTCTGTGTGCATGTCTGCAGCCAGAAGAGGGCACCAGACCTCTTTACAGATGGTTATGAGCCACCATGTGGTTGCGGGAATTGAACTCAGGACCTTTGGAAGAGCAGGCAATGCTCTTAACCACTGAGCCATCTCTCCAGCCCCCTACAGCTGCTCTTTCAAAGAATATTTTACCTATGGGCTTCTTCCTTGGCAAAATTGGATTCATAAATGTGCGTGTCATGTTTTACTGGGTATTGAACCTAGGGTTATGTGTATGCTAGGTAGGTACTGTACCATTAGACCGTTATCTCCAGTCCCATAAGTGTGTAAATTTAAAGACAACAGACCATTATAGGGCTGGGTGTGGTAGCTGCCCATCTTTAATTCTAGCTCCCAGGAGACAGAAGCAGGCAGATCTCTGAGTTTGGGGCCAGTCTGGTCTACATAGCATATTCTAGGCCAGCTATAGCTACAGAGTGAGACCTGTCTCAAAAGTAAATAAATAAAAAAGGAAAAAGGAGTACTACAGAGATTGTTTACTGAAGCTCTATTGATTTCACATCATGAAATGCACAGCAGGTTCATTCCTGGCAGGGCCCTAGCAGACAATAACCAAACCACCCTTCTTCTTTAACCAGTTGTTGATGTGGGATTCCCCTCTGTATGCTGTGAATACAACTGGTTAATAAAGGAACTGTCTTGGGCCTGTGCAGGGAATAGAAGAGGTGAGCAGGGAAAACTAAACTGAATTATGAGAAAAAGAAGGGCAGAGTCAGAGAGAAGCCATGTAGCCCGACTGGAGCCAGACAGAACTTTACCCAGTAAAGCACTGCCATGTGGTGATACACAGATTACTAGAAATGGGTTAAATTAGTATGTAAGAGCTAGCCAATAAGAAGCTAGAGCGAATGGGCCAAGCAGTGATTTAAATAATACAGTTTCTGTGTGATTATTTCGGGGCTAAGTGGCTGGAAACCTACAAGTGGCTTCCTCCAACAAGTTATAGTATTAATCTATAGTAACTGCCCAAAACTTGTACCAAAAGCCTAGTCCATCCCCAATGCAGTGATGTTCATAAGTGGATCACGAGGTCTTGACCTCACCAATGGATTACTGCATTAATGGATTCATAACTGAATGGACGACTGCAAAGACAGGGTTCAAGAGACCAGCCCTGGGCCAATCCTTTACCTCTTTTATAGGGCAAACTGCAAGGTGGGGAGCAAGCAGTTATCTACCACACACTGTTTTTGCCCTAAAATCCCACCTTGCCTCCACACAAAACAATGGAGCCAGCAGACCAAGGAGGAGCTGAAATAAACCACTCCTCCTTTTAAGCTGAATTTTTTTCAGTTATTTTGTTACAGTAACAAAAAGATAACACTCCAGCTCCTTATCTTTCCAGAGATATTTTATTATTAATACTGTAGCAGATTGTGTATGTTATATCCATACATATAAGATATACCTTCTACATAATCAGTTGTGTGTGAAATGTATTATTCACATTATTTTTACTTAGAGTATTTTGTTCTTATAAAATCCTGCCGACCTGGTGTATGAAATGGAAGCATAACCATTACTAACTTTAGTAAACCATGCAGAGTTATGCAAGGTACAACAGCCAAGGAAGGTGAGACTTTTTATTTACTAATTTCTATTTGTTTGTTTTGAGACCAGGTCTCACTGTATAGCTCTGCTGTCCTGAAACTCACTCTGTAGACCAGGCTGTCCTCAAATTCAGAGATCCACCTGTAAAAGCAGGCACCACTGTGCAGGGCTGAACAGAGAAATTTTAAATAACTCCCTCTATGAGAGTCTCACTATGTAGTTCTGGCTGTCCTGGAACTAACGCACCTTGTAGACCATTCTGGCTTCAAATTCAGAGGGATCAACCCACCTCAGTCTCCCACATGGTGGTATTTCTTTTTTTTTTTTTTTTTTTTTTTTTTTTTTTTTTTTTTTTTTTTT